TCAGAGATGTAATGCAGCTCATAGTCACCGAACGTGTCACGGATTAATAATGTAAAACTCTGTATGAGTTTTCGTGCGTGTGTCCGTTTTTTAAAGTTTTTTTGTACAGTCTGACATTAATGACAACTGAGATCCTACAGTGTGACATGGCTTACAACGGGGGTCATGTTCATACAGTCTGACAAGCGAAGCGATGGGTTTTTGTAAGAAAAATATCCATATTTAAAACTTTATAAACTACAATCATTGGCTTCCCGCAAGGGCCATACGCACATTCACGATAGAGTCGAGTTCCGGTAGAAGGGTGACCTCTAAATATTTAATTTTTTCTTACAAAAACCCATCGCTTCACTTTAGAAGGCATTTATTAACTCACTGGGGTCGTATGGATTACTTTTAAGATGGATGGATGTGCTTTTTGGAGCTTCAAAAACTCACACTATTCAAAAGTGGAAAATTGAGGGGACACTAAAGGGGACACTATTCAATGCTATTACAAAGTTGGGAAGAGCCAGGGTATTATTTATTATAACTCGGCTGAAAGAAGAAAGCCATATAGACTTAGGATGGCTTAAGGGTGAGTAAATGGGATACTTTTCATTTTTGGGTAGCAATAATCTTTGGCCTGCAATTACAGACCGTCGTTACATGACCAGTGGCCTTGTTACATGTGTGTCCTGTGTTTCCCCCGTTCTTTGTGTATTTGGTTCAGTCCTGTTTCCAGTTTCCCGCTCCTCGTTAGTGTTTAGTTTATTCACCTGTGTCTAGTTCATTTGCCCCAGCTGTGCCTTGTTTCCCTAATCTGTTCTCTGTCTATGTAAACCCTGTGTTCTCCCTCACTCCTTGTCGGTTCTCGTTTATGTAACGTTTGTGTATGGTACGTTTGTATTTGGTGTGGTTATGTTTCCTGGATTCCTGTTTTGAGTTATATTAGTAAAGAGTATTGAATTTGATCTGCTGACTGCTGCCTCTCCTTCAACCTGCACCACACCCGTAACAGAAGAACCGACCAAGAAAAAGAAAAGAGAATGGATTTTGCAGCAGTAGAGATTCTGCTTCTCTCCCAGGAGGATCTGTCCCTCGAGGCCCACACACTGAGGTATTTGAACTTAGTACCATATGTTCATTATGATGACACCAGCCTCAGTGTGTTCTTCCGGGCAGGTCTCAATGCTGAGACCAAGGCACGCCTGCCCGGAGATGGGCCTCGGGGGAACTTTGTGAAGTATGTGCAGTGGGTGTTGAAGCATAATCGTGAGTCTCATCCTGCTGAGACTTGTTGTCCTGCTGGTTCCGTCCAGCACCAAGCCCTCTTCGCTGCTGGTTCCGTCCAGCACCAGGCCCTCTTCACCGCTGGTTCTGTCCAGCACCAAGCCCTCTTCACCGCTGGTTCTGTCCAGCACCAAGCCCTCTTCGCTGCTGGTTCCGTCCAGCCCAGCCAAGCCCTCACCGCTGGTTCCATCCAGCCCAGCCAAGCCTGCACCACTGGTTCCGTCCAGTCCAGCCGACCTTTCACCACTGGTTCCGTCCAGCCAAACCCTCGCCACTGGTTCCGTCCAGCCAAGCCCTCGCCGCTGGTTCCGTCCAGCCCAGCCAATCCCTCGCCGCTGGTTCCGTCCAGCCCAGCCAAGCCTGCACCGCTGGTTCTGTCCAGCCAATCCGAGCCAGAGCCCGCTGATCCTGCGCCGGAGCCCGCTGATCCTGCGCTGGAGCCCATTCATGCTGCACTTGAGTCTGCTCTGGAAGACACAGCGCTCATTGTGGTGTCCGTGGCTGTTTTGTGTGTGTGGGCAGCACACACATCAACTACAGCCCATGAACCCAGCCCAGAGCTTCCCTGCAGCCCTGCAGAGCCTGAGCCTGTCGCCTGCCCGCCAGAGCCTGAGCCCGTCGCCTGCCCGCCAGAGCCTGAGCCCGTCGCCTGCCCGCCAGAGCCTGAGCCCGTCGCCTGCCCGCCAGAGCCTGAGCCCGCCAGAGCCTGAGCCCGTCGCCTGCCCGCCAGAGCCTGAGCCCGTCGCCTGCCCGCCAGAGCCTGAGCTTCAAGCCAGCCCTACAGAGCCTTCTCTACTGGTCCCATCCAGCCCTCCCAAGCCTGACCTGATCCACGTCCCGTCTGCCCACCCAGAGACTGTCCACGTCCCAGAGCCTGTCCCAGAGCCTGTGATTCCCCCCAAGAAAGTTTTGGGGGGGGGATATAGGCCACCTGAAGGTGCGTCTCCACCATGGCCACCTGAAGTGGCCTCTCCACCCTGGCCACCTGAAGTGGCCTCTCCACCCTGGCCACCTGAAGTGGCCTCTCCACCCTGGCCACCTGAAGTGGCCTCTCCACCCTGGCCACCTGAAGTGGCCTCTCCACCCTGGCCACCTGAAGTGGCCTCTCCACCCTGGCCACCTGAAGTGGCCTCTCCACCCTGGCCACCTGAAGTGGCCTCTCCACCCTGGCCGCCCGAGGGAAAGTCTCCACCCTGGCCGCCCGAGGGAAAGTCTCCACCCTGGCCGCCCGAGGGAAAGTCTCCACCCTGGCCGCCCGAGGGAAAGTCTCCGCCCTGGCCTCCTGCACATCCTGCTCCGCCCTGGCCTCCTGCACGTCCTGCTCCGCCCTGGAGGCTTCCTGCTCAGGGTAGGCCACGCCCTCGTCAGCCTCCAGGGCGCCCGCCCCCCCACCCCTTTTGAAGTTATACGGCGCGAGGACGCGCCTTTTTGGAGGGGGCGTTATGTTACATGTGTGTCCTGTGTTTCCCCCGTTCTTTGTGTATTTGGTTCAGTCCTGTTTCCAGTTTCCCGCTCCTCGTTAGTGTTTAGTTTATTCACCTGTGTCTAGTTCATTTGCCCCAGCTGTGCCTTGTTTCCCTAATCTGTTCTCTGTCTATGTAAACCCTGTGTTCTCCCTCACTCCTTGTCGGTTCTCGTTTATGTAACGTTTGTGTATGGTACGTTTGTATTTGGTGTGGTTATGTTTCCTGGATTCCTGTTTTGAGTTATATTAGTAAAGAGTATTGAATTTGATCTGCTGACTGCTGCCTCTCCTTCAACCTGCACCACACCCGTAACAGGCCTGAAGTCCCTATATAAAAGCTTGCACTGACACTGAACTGAACCAGCTGATGATAATCAGAAATCAAAATAAAATTAGGGGTCTCCTCTGCTGATGTGGAACCATAACAGCTTTCAGGATAAAAATGTAAAGGGCTCCATGGATCTAGTAATCAAGTTTCATGGCTGGTTTACCATTTAATTGGGTACAGTATTTGAAATTTTAATAACATATTTCCTCGCTATTTCTACACACACGAGCAGACGATGGGCTATTTAATAAATTATTATTAGCTGAAACGAAGGGGGCAAAGATGGGAAAATAGAGGGGAGAGGGAAAAACTATATGCAATATGTTTACAGTTTTGGAAGAAAAAGTGAAAAAAGTGTGCTTGCCTGTGCAAAACTCACCGCTAAGATGCTAGAGTGTTGTAGATGGGCACCAAGACATCGCAGTTGCTAAGCTGTTCTGAGTGGTTGTAATTATGCTGCTATGTGGTTGTGGGGGCATTCTGAGCGATTGTCATTGCGTTGCTACGTATGTGGTTGTGTTCTGAGTAGTTGTTATTGTGTTGCTATGCAGTTGGTGGGATGTTCTGAGTGGTTGTTATCGCGTTGCTATGCGGTTACTGGGGTGTTCTGTGTGGTTGTCAGTGTGTTGCTACGTATGCAGTTGCTGGGATGTTCTGAGTGGTTGTTATCGCGTTGCTATGCGGTTACTGGGGTGTTCTGTGTGGTTGTCAGAGTGTTGCTACGTATGCAGTTGCTAAGGTGTTCTGAGTGGATGTTAATGCGTTGCTATGCGTTTGCTGGGGTGTACTGAGTGGTTGTTAATGCATTGATATGCAGTTCCTGGTATCTTGATATCTTACACTTAAAAACAGCTAGATGGAGTGCAACAGGATGGAAACGTTAGAATTTCTTAAAGTTGGCAAGCCATCTTAAAAAAATTAACAGTCATGGCAGACAAGACAACCAAAGAATGTGTATAAGAGCAGGCTAATTGATGATGCACCACCACTTAACTCTTTCCCCGCCATTGACATATTTTTCTGGGAATCCATGTTTTCACTGTTATAGGGGGTGCTGTAATGCATCTTCTCTAAGAGTACAGAATCCCAGAATCCAAAAATAAGCGAAGAAGAAGCTTAGAAGATTGCTTACGCACATGTAAGCTACTGCGCTCACCAAACATTCAACAGTATTTAAATCAAAACTGCCTAATGTTACCGAATGAAATGTCAAACCCATAAAAAGATATAGGACTGCACAAGCTTTGTTGATGGACTCGATTTACTCGATCTATGTTTTGATCATCATTCTGAATCTGATCTGGACAAAGCCTTTGACAAAAATGAAATTTTCTCAGCTTTTTGTTCAAAATGTTGCTTTCATTCAAGTGTTGATAAAAAAAGAAAGCATGAAGCTAGAATAGTTTTTTCCCCCTGTTCTGTCTTTTGATGTATTTAATGTTCAGATATTCACACAACAAAATATCCTGGGGGCCATTAAAGTTGTGTGAAAATGATAAAAAATGCTGGCACTGACTCGCAACTTAAAAAAAACAAAACCTGGAAGGCAAAGAGTTAAAATATCAAACCTAGAAAAATGATATAAGTACAATAGGAAAAAAAGAAAGAAAGATAAATCTATCTACTAAAAAGTAGTAAATCTCACTAGGCAAACTGACCCCAAAACTCAGTCTGAGCCCTGTATCCAGCTCTAGAAAGGATTTTAATGTAGACCCAGCTGTGACTCTGAAATACTGATAAAAGAATCAATACATGCCTTTCCTGACCTACTACTAATGCAGGTTGATGATCTGCAACATATTCTTTAAAAAAAGCCACTTTTAAATTCATGAACAACACTTAACACTGCTTACAGAGCTTAGACATAAACAGAAAACACTGATACCCAAGCTGAGGGATTATACATTGCAAAAGAAGTACAAAATCAGATGTTACCTTTGAAAGGTCACCCACTTCCAAATAAAAACAGATGATGAAGACATTCCAGGCGACCCACAGCACCAACCAAACCGCATACTGTAAAAAAGACAAGAACATGGTGTTTGAAAGATCCATTTCAACCTCAGACCCCCAATAACCCCCTAACCAAATAAACATTTGCATATGCGTGATTAATTGGCGTAAGTGGGATATTTTCTCTGTAATTAATTCTCCGATGTGTGTTCCTTAAAACATTCTGCCTCCACAAATCTAGAATCTGCCAAAGAAGCGATATGGGCAGGCGATGCATTTCACAGTGGAAGCAAGAGCCCTGTGTGGGAGTTTGTGAGGGTGGCTCGTTCCCCGGTTCACGAGTTAACGCTTATCGAAATAGCGGGATGTGATTATGAAACATATTCCCCAGCAAAATTGTAGCCGTCGCAGGGGGGTGTCTCTGAAAATGAAGTAAATTTTTGTTAAATAAACACAGGTCTCATCCCGTTTCGCATCATTAGGGAATGCAGCAAACTGCTATTATGTTAAACGAATTTGTTCAAAAGACGAGAGTAGCTGAATTTGCTCATGAGCATTAGCAGCTCGTAGCATGTTTTACTGATTAAAATGTGAGAGGTAGGCTACGCTGCGTGAGAACTCAGAGGACTGTTAGGCAGGCAGTGATCTTTAGATAAAATAACACTTATCTGATCCAATTCAAAGTGAGACAGGTGAGTACAAATGAAATACTGAGCGAGGGGAAATGCAAAATCAATCTGAATTACCTGATGGGACTTGAGCGGAAAAACTCGGCCTTTAACGCTTGAAAATGAGCAGTTAGCGACATGCATTTCGAGTAGCTCCCCAAAAGTGGCTCTAATAGATAAATCAATATGGACTTAGCTTTGATAAAAATGAGCATGTGCAAAGACACTTCAACCTCCCGTTACAAATGTACTACCTCTCTGCTAGGATTGTGCACCATTCAGAATTGAACTAAGAATGCCTGCTAAATTTGAATGCAATAAATCAGAATTAAAATTCAAAGAAATTCATATCACTAATTTTTAACTAGAAAAGCAAAGATAGTCAGACTTTGTATGTTGGCTTGTTAAAGTCTCTGTTTTGAAAAATAAAAGCTTTCAACTGTGCAGGTGTTTATGCAGACAGAACTATAGAGCAATGATAGATAGAATGATAGATAGATAGACAGACAGACAGACAGACAGATAGAAAGACAGATATACAGACAGATAGATAGATAGATAGATAGATAGATAGATAGATAGATAGATAGATAGATAGATAGATAGATAGATAGATAGATAGATAGATAGATAGATAGATAGATAGATAGACCTATTAGCTTATAGACAGAAGGACAGAAAAGAGAGATATACAGATAGACCATTAGATAGACAGACAGACAGACAGACAGACATTCTCTGTTTTTGCATTTCTTTGAATTGCAATTCAGTAAATTTATTTTCCTGTCATTCCCACTCAACTTCCTATGGGGAGTGACCAATTCTGTTGAAATCCCAACTCATCAAGATCCTGCTCTCTACCAGTGTTAGGCAAGCCACTCAAAATTATAGCTAGCTAAGCTACCAATCCAGCGCTCTACCGATAAATTAGCAAAGCTATGCTGAAAGCTATTATTTAGAGAAGATAGCTAGTTAGCTACAAGCTACATGTCTTACTACATTTAAGCTACTTCATATTTTTTAATAAGCATGGAATAATATAAATAGTCATATATAATTTGTTCTAATACATATTTATTCATTTGCTAATTGGTTAAAAAAAAACATTGTCAGGGAAAATGTAATTTGTAAAAAATTTGTTTGTCGATGTTACCCACCAATAAAATAAAAAAGCTTTGATAATGAAAAGCTAAATAACTTAAAAACTAACAATACTGAGAATTAGTTATACTGAATACTGAAAATAGTTCAACTAATTGTAACAACGCTACTGCTCAATACATCTTAGGTGCAAACAATTCTCCAGCCCTTTATTAAGTCTTACACATGATTCGTTGCTGAATCTAGTCATTATGATTTTCAAGTTGAGCATTATTGCAGCCATTTATTAAAGCTGACCTTGTACAAGAGGGTTGACTTACTTGGGGTCAACCCTTGCAATGTAGCTGTTCTTTATTTAGATTTGCAGTTAAATATGCAAAGAATCGTGAGGGCCTCGGGCTAGGGGCAAAGATCAACACATCATGATTGTCTTCCAACTAGAATGTGGTTGATGTATCTCCTGTCTTCCATGCTCTGCTGTATAAGAAGGAGCCTCCTCCGCATGTTAGAGCAGGAGGGGGTCTAGACGGAGCGATTGACTTCAATTAAGTCTCATAATCCTGCTTGATATCTCTAACACGCATTCGAGTTGATCCGGAGGGAGGAGGTTATGAACGCGTTCTTGACGAGGGCTGTTTGAGCCTAACCTTTCCCCACAAACAGAGCGCAGCAGACCGTTGTGTCTCGGAGACTGGAGGAATTTTACCATCTTGAAATCTGACGTGTTGTCAGGACATTAGATACAGAAGATGTGGGCATGTAGTGGAACCTCATTTGGCCATTTGCCAGCCACTGGAACGTGCCAAGTTGAATTAGAATAAAAATTTATCTGGCCTGACAGCATCCCCAAAACAGATATAAGCAAGAGTAATGTTCAAATGTGAGCAATTTATCTCTGTAGGAGACTCTCTCTCCATCTCTCTGGCCAGCCACTGCTCCTTGACTGAAAAATCGAGCTTTGTTTATTCCAAAGGGAGACACATAACACTAAAAAAGGCAATCTGTTTCATCTCAACTGGGTGACATGGTCCGAGTCACATTTGAGTCAATGACCCGGTCCGTCAGTACATTGATATCTCTCTGTTACGCTGGCCAGGGTGTTAAATGTCCGTTGTACCCGACTGTAGAGAAAGCTGTCACAACATGCGGTCTAATCTCATCCGTGCTGAACAACTGTTTCTTCCACAATACCATATATTAGGTATAACTTGCTTGATGGACTGGATACAAATATAAATCATGCGTAAAACTGTCTCACACCATGTCTACACTGGATGCGAGCGGCCAACCGAATCTATTATAATCAGCGATTCTGTTTACACTGGATGCAGCGTGATGCAATGAGTCATCGACTGTAAATTGATGCCAAATTGAATTGATGCAATGAGTCATCGACTGTAAATTGATGCCTGCTTCCATTTCTGATGTGTCACAACAATCTTCGCTCCCAGTGTAGACACGGTGTAAGGGTGTTTCACATGATTCATTTGATTCAGAACCAGATGCATTTTCTCCCTTGTTTGGGCATACATTAACACAGCAATCAATCAAATCTGCACCAAAAAGTTGAACCAAAACTACCTTAAGGAATACAAAATAAGAGAAAGAAAGCTACAATAAATCCATTGAGCTTTGGTTATAAAAACATTCCGACCAATGAAGGGACAATTTGCTCACATCCCTCCTGAAAAAACAAATCTTAAAACCAGCCTAAATCAGTTTGCTGGTTTTAGTTGGTCTCCCAGGCTGGTCTTTTGCCTTGTTTTACACAGGTGTTGAGCACTTTTCAGCTGGTCAGATGCATCCTCACCACTTTTTGCCAAGGTCGATATTGTCCCTCTCACTTTTTGAAACATCTCGTGGTATGAATGTACCTAATGCAAAAGAAACATCTCCAGTTGATCATCAATTCGTTCGTTTGTGTTAAATAAGAGGCGATCTGGAATGTGTTGTTTGTTTTTGAAAACATGCTGAGTGCTCGTTGCCACTGTTATCAGTGGAAGAAGGCAACAGTGTTCTCTTGGTGCTCGTGCACACTGTGCAGTCTTCACACTGATCAGCACTTCTATCTATCACTTAAAGCTGTTGCGGAGACTCTCTATTCGTTCCAGTGAAATCACAAAACATGAAACATGAACATTAAACCTAAGTTCTATGTCAATAAATTAAACTCAATGTACTACTGATATTGATGAGTGGACATCGTAATGTTATTTTTTGTGCGTTATTTTCCACACACACACACTCCTGTCCCACCCACTTTTTAAACAAAGTTAAGCCACTGGTCAGATGGATAGACCAGCCGGCCACACAGCTAAACGACAGCTTAGCCAGACTGGGTCACCAGACCATATTAAGGTAGTTAAGACCAGCAAACCAGTTTAGGCTGGTTCAGAGTTTAGGGTTTATTTTAATAGAGATGTGACAATAGCCCCTTTCACACAGAGATTCCGGAAAATACACGGATAAAGCGACCCGGGATTTGACCCGGGTTCGTTTGATTTTGCTTCATTCACACTGCCAGTGATTTGCCGGAATCAGAGAGTGCGTTCACACACAACCCGTGTATGTTCCGGAAAGACACGTGACATCGATGTGACATGTATGTCTCAGCAACGTGTATAGTTTGCTTATGAGCTGCGATTTCTCTCTGGAGAAACCACGCTTGTGCATTTTCTTCTCTGATTCGATCATAAACTAGCGCATTACGTACCGTTTCACTAGCCTGCTTTCACTTCACTTCAGCGTCATCATTACGACACGGCATTGGTTACGGCTTTTGTTCACACAGCGCGCGTTCCGGGTCTGAACACGGCAATGTTACTAGGTCCCCAACCCGGCATCGATCCCGGCATCAATCCCGGGTCGTGTTTGCGTTCACACAGAAGGCACTCTGGCAATTTGCCGGCAATTTGCCGGGTTCAAAGCGCTGTGTGAAAGGGGCTAATGTGACACAAATGTTGGTCTTTTTTAAATTTTATTTACGAGCCAAATTAAAGAGAAAATGCAACATTGTAACAATTTAGTCCATTTTGGACACAAATGCAGATCGTGATTAAAACATCTAAGGATGTTTTCATACCTCCCTTAGTTTGTTAGGGAATACAGACTGTCCATACTCAATCCGAAACTGCTGCAAACAACAATCAGAACTTATTTTGGGCCAGATTTACTAAACATGGCATATTATTGTGAGAGTGCAATTCCACAAAAGCGTTGATGGAAGTGGAAAGTTCTGCGCGTGATCTACATTCAACTTGCGTTTGAAAGGAAAACTCCAACAAATTCATATGCAATAAGGACAGCCGCAAAAATAACTGTCCACGCCTTTTCAGCGCTAATTTTCACTGTGTGTCTTTAGTAAATCCTCCTGACAGTAATTTTTTAACGCCAAAAGAGGGTTTGCGCTACTGCAAGCTGTTAGTAAATCTTGCCCTTGATGTTAAAGAGCATATGTGGAGCTGGATTTTGGACCAATGAGATTTCACTGTGGGTGAGGCTAGCTAATAAAACAAGATTGAAACCAAACGACTGTCAAAATGTCTTGCTGCTCATCACGGTTGCAAAATGTTAGGACAAAAACGTACCATGGAACAGATTTGCCTGGCTAGGACTCCAGGGTGTATTAATACAACAAAATGACAGCATAACCTGCAGGGGTGAAAAAGAATATGTCACAAACGGAATATGAAAATATATGTAAACTCACCATGGTCACATATCGCGGTCTGAACTGTACTGTTCCAAAGAGTCCTAGAATCACTGTGATGATGTGGACAAAGTTTGTGAGGATTGGAGCCCACTGGTATCCAAGGAAATCAAATATCTGTCGCTCCAAGATGCTGATCTGGAAACGAGAAACAGAGGAAAAAGACACTGCTTTACTAGTAAGCAAAAACAAAGACAATATATTGACATACAAGCATTTATTAGCATAAAGGCGTAAACAGATTTCCAGCTTTGGGGGTCGCTTTATGATGACACTCTGATGCCAGCTGGAAGGCAGGGTGAGATGACGGACTGCCAGGCCACATGTGAAAGCACACAGCCTACAGGAAGCCAGAGGAATACCCCTGTCACACAGGCGATTAATTAGGACCGAGACGTGCCGCTCTCCGGAGTCAAACCCCCACCCTTCCACAAAAACCAGAGTTGACTTGGAAATTAAAGCTGGCAAGTCCAGCCTCGCAGCTCTGGGTGCTCCAATCTCAGCCACTGATTGGACATGACACTGATGTCAATACCACAAGCTATGGCACTTCCAAAAGCGGACCAGTGCAGGGTCACGGTTTTATCCCCAAAGGACCTACAAGCAGCCAGCTTCATAAAGCTAATGCTAATAGAACCCGTGTCTCCAGCTGCATTCACCAACAGGCACGAGAAGCCTTTAACAACCTCAGATGCTCAATGTCTTATCTGGAAACGAAACCAAGCAAAAATATCGCCATTGAATCATCTGGTTTGCCGCATGATGTAACAGAGGATAGTAAAGAGCAAAGCGTCAAGATGAAGGTTGAAAATGCAGCCGCTGAAAACACAAATGTCATTGTGACCTCAATAGATTCATTTAACAAACAGCCTCTCAAGTGAACATCAATAGAGGATTCAATAGCAGTATGAATATCAAATGACTTTAAGTTGCACAGAGATGCTATATATGAGTGTTTCCTACTGGATGATGTTTTTACAGCGGGGCTGTTCAACCCTGCAGTCCATCCAGCGGATCAAATTTATCAGTTTTTGTGAGAAAAACAATTGAAGATTTACTTCATTATTAGAATCTTGAATATTCTGGAATTACAAAATGAATCATGGTTCATTTAAAGGGGTCTTTTGACCCCATATAAGGGGCAGTTCACACAGAACGCGTTTTTCATGACCCCTTTAATATAGCAACATTCCTAGTTTCTATTAATAAATTTTTTTAAAAAAAAAATCTTAGTCAAAAGGGAACCAATATCTTAAACTACACGTTGTCATATGAGCACTAATATTACCAATTTGAGTTTCACAAACCTTTCACAAAACAGTTCTTGCTTTGACAGATATGAATAAAAACAAAGTCCCGTGTAAGCGAATCAGAAGTTAATTCAGTAACCACTTTAGCAGATTTAGTGATTCATTCAGTGAAGGATTTGTACGACTCACAACTTATTAAAAAATAATTTGCAATGGCGCTGTAGCTGGCATGAAAGTGAAGGAAACACTGTTCTACCAGAAAGACTCGGGAGATAAATTGAATGGCTATATACATTTATTGACAGCTCAGCAAGCATAAATTTATGAGTTCTTTGGCGTAGGCCCCGTCCTTAGCGAGCAAAGCGAGGTTAGCCGAATCTGCATGTCCCGCCTGAGATGAAGGCGGGGGCGCAGCCGACCCCCTGGAGGTAAGGAAGGGACCATCCTGGTGGTGGTGATGGGGAGGATGGAGGGGAAGGTACCGTCTTGGTGGTGGTTGGGGAGGATGGAGGTGAATGGCAGCGTCAGCATCTGCGAACTCAGACAAGTGTAAGTACCAATCTTATATACTGTGACTGTTAACGCCTGATTGAATAGGGATGAGGTAATACATGGCGCGCTGATTGAGTCTTCCTGACAGAACTTAAGCTAAAGCTTCCATTTCTTTGTAATTGAGCAGTAGTTCATGCTATAAATCTATCAACAGTAGACAAAGCTCAGGAGTCTATTAATCTGTGCATCTTGTCCATGCAGTTCTGCCCAGTGAGGACCAGTTTGTGACCCCCCTCCACCCCCTGGTCTCCCCGAGGGACGTGTCTTCTGTTGTCTGGGCGTTTCCTTTGAGCTTCTGCTAGCATACATCTGGTGAGCGTGTCTGTCCCAAACACTTAAGTCTTCGATCATAATGAAAGGTATTATCCTGACAACACCAAGCAACACCAGCGTGCACTTCACACAAGTTTTTTGATTAAGAATCTTCACAGCTCTGGGGTGCAGATGAGATTAGTTTTGTGTCAGAATAAAAGTAGTCCCCTTTCCAAATTCCACCCACTTTTTTTTTTTTTACCACAATTATGTTTTGCCTTCCCTTTCAGCCTTCAGTGGCATGGTGTGTTTTTATGAATCATGGCATGTGATTTCCCCCTGCACTAGCTCTTGTTTATTTTCACTGTCCTCCATATTTCCTCTATGAAACAGATGGATGAAAAGACAAATGCATTACCATCTGTTTTCTTAAAGGAATAGTTCATAAAAGAAAATTCTGTCATTATTTACTCGCCGTGATTTTGTTCAAAACATACAGACTTTCTGAAACACAAAAGACTGTTTATGAAGAATTATTCTGGTTGCTGTTTTTTATGAAATTACAATGCATGAGAACTCAGGTTTTCAATCTTCTAAAAAGGACACCAAATCACCACTTCAAAACAACTTGTGCACTATATTTCAAGTCTTCTGAAATCACACAATATCATTGTGATGAACAGACCAGAAATTAAGATGTACTGTAACTAAAATGTTGAAATCTGATCTAGCTCTCCTTTGAACGTTCATAAGAGTTAATAAGAGAAGTAGCGATTTGTGAATAAATCATTTTTGAGAGTCAAATCTTTCCAATAAATAGACAGATTTTGTTAGCAAACCTGGTCTGAATGATTCGTTCATGAATTGGACCCAACACATTCTCAAGTTCAACTCGATAACTCCATCGAGTCAGAGGGAATAACAGTTCGCTAGAGGGAAAGATAATTAGTAAATAATTACTCAAATCTTAAAAAGAAAATTTCATATGCAGAAAAAGGGACGAGGCCTGATTGACTTGCATTAGTTGTTGAAACTCGCAATCATGGTAAGGGGCGTGACATTTCCAAAACATATTCCAAGCAGTTGACCAATCACAACACACTGGTCTAGTCAACCAATCAGAGCACATTGCACTTTTCGGAAGGAGGGGCTTCATAGAGACAAGAACTAAACAGAGCGTTACTGACAGTGTGGGAAGAGAGGTGCTGCAACAATGTAAAATATGTAAACAATAATCAGTTTTTTGAACATTCAAGCATGAAACCCTTTTCTAGTAGACCCCAAAAACAAAATCAAGACATTGTAAAAGGGCAGAATATGGCCTTTTTAAGTTTCATGGTCTAATTTTGATACATTGAATCACGCTTTTGCTGCTTTTTGATGCATGAAAGCATCAGTTTCCGTTATAGCATGGAAAATAGCCACTAGTACAATTCTTCAAACGTTTGTGTTCCTGGGAAGAACGAAAGTACAAATTTGAAAAAACTTAAAGATGAATACATAATGACATACAATACAATAATATTGGCTGGAGTACTTGTTTAATAGGTTGTTTTCCATTATCAAACCAAAAAAAGAAAAGAGCCAGAGAGCATGATAGCACCACGTTCGATCCATATACCTTCATTATCAAAAGCTCTTCCAGTGAGCCATGCATCACACCAATTCTCAGAAGCACTGTTCAGCCATAGTTGTGCAGCAACTAAGCACACAGAAAAAAAGAAAAAAACGATTGACCCGACTCAGTGGTTCCATTGCTTTAGCGAAGTCTTAAAACTACAACCAGCCCTGAAATCAACTAATAAACCACAATGCCATTGTGTTGAAGGGAGACCATATGTCAGCACAAAATACAATCTAGCCTCCCTGCGAATAGGTTGCAAAATGCAAATATGGCTAATTATGTTATATTCTGTTGTTTGGTGAAAGATGGTGTGTTGACAATGTCTTTAAAATACGTCTTAATGGCACTCTCCTTCACAGTTCTCTTCTGTCGGGCTTTTGTAGACACCTGCGCTTATTGACAGAATTCCCAAAAGAGCCCAGGCATTAATATGCATGTCCAATCGGGGGAGAAAACCTAAAGGGATTTTATGGGGAGGTTGCAAGCTCTTGTCTGAGGTGTGGGCCGGGATCCCCATTAATGTGGTCCCTGGGCCCCCTTTCATATAAACAGTGATGTAAACAGCATTGTAGGGCAGCTGTGCTCTGAATGAGATTATCAAGTCATTTTTATACATGAGAAATTAATGTTCAGAAGATAGGCCTTAAAGGATGAAGTGCAAAATCACTGACTAAACACTAACAAAAAAGAGAGCAAACATTCAGTACTTCAGTATGCACAAGTACGCATCTATAAACAAATCATAACACTCATACTAAGGCTCTAAAAACACATTCAAAGCCACTGAAACGCCGATATACAAAACCAATAAAAAGTCTTAGGGTCGGTAAAATTTTACACGTTTTTGAAATAAGTCTCTTATGCTCACCAAGGCTACATTTATCTTATTACAATTACAGAAAATATTGTGAAATATAATTACATTATAAAGCTGCAGTCCTTAGCTTTTTTGGGTTAAAAATTATCCAAAATAAATTGAGCAAATACATAACCAGTGTTCAAAACTATCTGCTTGCCGTAGCTCGATTCAAAACGGTAAGCTTGTAATAATGTTTTTAATTTGGAGAAATTCGAGCATGTCTTTGCGTCATTACGTCACATCTGTACACATAAAGAAGGAGTCTTGGCTAGTAAGCTATATTGTGTGTGAGGATGTTGAAGGTGGAGATTTATAGCCTTTTCTCACAGCACTTGATATAATTAAACTTATCAATTTGATGGCGGATCCAGAAAGTTTCAAGCGACAATCACCAGTGACAACTGGAGATTCATCCGTTGTAAAATGCAAAAGACTTTGGACTGAGAGTTAGGAAAAAGAGACTGCAACCGGCCCATGCGAAAACAAGGATAATATCAGAAGGGCTTTAAATGTAGTCACGCAATGCTGATGTTGTTAACATTAACAATTTGAGAACAAAGTATAATTTGCACGGTTTGACGTGATATGATAAGCGATCATT